AGTACCCTAATTTATATACAATTTATATATAATACTAAACAGACGATAGCAAACTCAATTTAGCCGTCCGTAGCGTGGCGCAGGGTCGAAGGAAAGTAGTTCGGCTGCTCATCCACTATTGGTCCAGACTATCAATCTTGTCGCGAAACGACGTTATAGGAGGTACTTTATACAAAAGTTGCTACAATTTTTTCGCTACGTTATAGGAATTGTCGTTATAGGAACGTACGTTATAGGGGGGTCGACTGTACTGAAATACTAAAACAGATTACATGCAGTACTAAGAACACACCTAAATGCAAAACATACTATTAAAGCTTGTTAATACATATGTTGTCCCTGTACTCACTTATACCTTTCGAGTTATATAGTTTACACACACAGATCTCAAGCAACTCCAAAGAAAAACACCATCACTTACTAAACAAACAATATCACCCAAAATCATCCATAGAAAGACTAACTCTTCCTCGTAAAAAAAAGGTGGCTATGGCCTTACTAATATAGTTCACCTGCACTACAAACAAATTCTGACAATCAAGATTTTTTTTCCACAAGAAAAAAGAAATAAGATTACATAAAGCTATAACTCTGGCAGATAGTAACCACACATCTTTAAACTTACACTCTGAGCACCTTGTCATAGCTCAACACATAAATAACAGACACCATTAAACAATCATAGGTCCAAAAATCACTTCATGGCAGGCGTGCCCATGACCTAGCTCAGGACTTTGTTCACAAAACTGCATCAAACTAATGGCTGACTGAGGGTTTTATGGTTGCCATTCAAGATCAGGTCATAAACACTAAAACCTATAGAAAACACATCCTGAAAGATACATCACTCAAAAATGACTCTTGCAGAAAAAGACATATTCTGCCAGAAACAATACAACATATAGCTTCTGATTGCAAGCTCTTAGAACAGACTATTTACATAGGCATAATCAAGAAGCAAACAGCAAGAGTTAACTATAATGATATTCATATTAAAAAAAAGGACTAACCGTTTTTAACGACCTGACAAAGATGAAAATAATTATTGTCGAAAGCACTTGTTGATCTAGCAACATTCATTTGTAATTTAATGCCTATATGTTAAGAAGTTTCTCCTATTAAACAGCAAGAGCTTGCACACAAACAGATTATTAAACACTCAGCTACCATACTACAAATATGTCCCAAAGGCAGTATTAGAAAATAACACACAATATGTACTATGACAGAGCCATAATCATAGATAAAAGAATCCATCATGACAGACCTGACATCATTCTCATTAACAAATACAGTACGATTGCTTATATAATAGACATCTCTGTTCTAAACACAAAAAATGCTCACACTGAAAAAAATCAACAAGTACACTCTACTCGCTCAAAAAATAAGACAGGTGTGGAGGATGGAAAAGGTATTTATTGTACCTTTTATCCTCTCTTCTATTGGTGTTATACCAAATACATTACACAAAATTCTAGGAACATCAACCTTAAAAAAAAAACATCTACATGGCACTACAGAAAGCTGCAATATTGAACACGTCACATTGTTAGAAAGTTTCTAGATGTTGACAAACATATCAACAATACAGCTTAATGTTACACTTGTTTGGGTAGTTATACTTTGACTTTAGTCTGGCATAGCACTTGGCACCAGCTTCACAACAAACTATAATATTGAGTTCCGCTCTAGTATAAACTACAATGTATAATTTAATTCTCAATATAATTTCAATAAAAATATAAATATTTTCATTTTACAACTATTTGAATTTTTTAAAGACTAAAAATATTAACATAAAACAAAACTTACCTCAGAAATAGCAATAAGAAAATCATGTGCATGCTTATAAACAGGGGAAAATGATTCTAAGAAAATATGACCATCAGGTGCCTAGTAAATATATAAACAAAAATATTTTTTTTAAACTGTGAGTATTACTTTTCAAATTGTTATAATTATTACATATAAATACATACAAATATACAGGATGTTCCACTTGAAAGTACCCAATTTTAATTTGCCATAAAAAAAATGAATGGTTTAAGTTATATAAAAACAAGTGGCATCAATCAGGTCGAAGAACTCATCAAGTTTTGTAAGTATTTTTTTCATACTGCAATATGGCACAGAAGTCAATCTTGAGCATTATTATCCAGTCACGGCTTCACTACAGGAGAAAGCGTAGGTCATGGTTTGGTATGACCAATAGCATGGCCTCCAAGATCTCCCAATCTGATCCACTTACATTTCTTTGTGGAGTTATGTGAAAGATATGGTGTATGCAACTTCAGTCAGAGACCTTCAGGATCTGTGAAAGCATCACTGCAGCCATTGCCACAGTGAGACAGGACATGCTGCAGTGTACTGTACAGTACATAGGAAATTGCCTACTGTCTTGTTGTCCTCACTGACTTCTGGAGTGCAGAGATGTGGCGTTTTCTTCAATAAAATTTGATGAGTTTTTCTCTCATATAAAATCTTTGGTTAACTTATATCTTTAACAATTAACTTTTTTTAGCCAAATCAAATTGGTACACCCTGTCAAAACATATATTTGTGTGTATGTAATTTTATATATAAAAAATATATTTGCTATATTTATATATAATTCATTCTTATATTTGTATATATCTAAATTTTATAAATCTTAATAGGTAACTGAATCTTTATTTATTCAATTTTATATTTTATATCTTATTCCAATATTTTAAAAAATTTTGAAATTGGTTCTGTGCATTCCAATTTAGAATGTTGTTGATCTAAAGCAGATCTTGTGTAAGATTGAAAAGTTTATCAAATTTACATTAAATTATTTACTGGATTGTCAAGGTTTTGATTGGTGTACTTAATTATATATAAACAATGATCTTAACAATAATATAATGATTTCAGTTAGTAAAATCTAACTAATTAAATTTTTACTACATAAAGTAGATTCTGCTTATTGTAATAATAGATGTTGTGAAAGTTATTTACTATTATCAAAATTAGCAAGTTCAAAAAATATAACTTAAAATTCACTTCAAAAACATTACTTATTGTTATCATAATTTAGTTATCATTACTATCTTTAGGTAAATGGGCATTTTTGGAACCTAATACCATACAATCATACATTGAGAGAATGTATTATTGCAAGTTATCAACTATATATTGAGGCTGATAGCAAGTTATATAGGATTATGCTGTCAGTCTCTGACAGCATAATCCAGCAATTAAGATATTGTTTTAATAGTTATTTGCTCGTAGTACAGTAGCTTAAATTGCAGGAAATTCTAACTGTAATTATATCCTAGCTAATATTAGACTGTAGCAGGCAAACAATACTGGACAAATTACATATTGATAACTCATCAAGTTCTACATTTTTTTTAATTTCTTTAACTTGTTTCTTAATGTCAGAGTCAACAAAATCAAAATTTCCATTACCTTTAGTCATATTTATCTACCCTGTATACTATCAGTTTAAGCAAATCTCAAAGTAGATATCCTTCATACAACACAGTTTCGCTCTAACATGATTCAAAAACTGAAAAAAAACCCCCCATAAATACAGTTTCCAGTTTCACTAACATGGTTTGAGAAATCCTCTGTACAAAATTTCACAATTTTTAAGTGTAAACTTCATAATTTGATATTTTTTAAAATTCAAATGAAGAATATTGAAATTTTCAATTTGTTTTGTGCCTTTCATCAGGTTTGCTTTAATAAAAAATGATAGTGCAATTTTTTCTTCCTTGTCCTAGCTTTCCTATCAACCAGGTGTCGTTTTCAGACTTTAGTTTTAAGACTGTCACTGTGTTTTGTTTTAATAGATTAATCTTTGTATTCAGTTAAACACTTTTAGGTGTTATTAAACTTTTTTTAAATCGTAGATAAGTAATCATTTGTAAAAATGACGAATGAAATACAGCATTATTCAAACAGTTCCCAACTTAAACAATTCAGTATTCAAACACAAATTCTGGAAAATAAATTGTTTGGTCCTCAATTGAACAAACACAAACCACTAAAACAAATTTTCAAGTAATAACATTTTTATGTTGTCCGCCATAAAAATTATGACAAAAATTAAAAAAATAAAGATGTTGCTGATATTTCTGATCATAATCAACAAAAAAGCTAAGACAACAATACTTTGTAAAAAGAAAATACCTTGTTTAACTAAAATGAATATTTAAAAAACCGTTGTATTGCTTGCATTCTATTTTACATTCTTTTTTGTTTTAAAGTGGTTTAACTGAAGAAGACTATTAAAAATAGTCGAAAACATTATTTTTATTAAATACTTTGTTGCTGGAAATACTAAGTTGTTTGGTTATTTTAAAATTAATATTAATGCATCAGTACTTTTGTGATTTTTAGTTAATTACAGATTGGAAATAAATTATTGATTGCTTTGATAAACATTTTTCTCTTAGTAATGAAAAAGAATAGTAAACTTTTGGAACCTAATACCATGTTTTGCATTAGTCCTCTTTTTTGTAAAGCATGGATTTTCATTACATGACACTTTTTGGAGTGTAACTACTGTATTATACGAGGAATATCTGTAATTATATTAAGCAGATTTTACTCTATTAATTTTCATAATTATTTAACTCTTCAAATGTGAGATCAGACAAAATTGGCTCAATCCATTCAAGATGAAATCAGCTGAAGGAAAAGTTGTTTGACTGGGTTTGCTATACAAATTTCCTTCTTAGTCTGAGGGGTGAAAACAATTTCATCTCCAGATATAGGAAGAAAAAAAGAAATTTTCAGAGTTGAAAGAGTTAAGACAACCTTTGAATTTTATGAATCAATATAAAATAGACTTATACTTAACAGGGAGAACCATAATCCTTTGCAAATTTAAATCTGGTTGAGACTCAGGTAATTCAAAAGAGCTCTTAAAGGCAATCACAATAGTAGAACTTTTTCAGGATACACATACAGTAAAAAGTTAGATGACCTAAGTTTTCCCAAATTTTTATTTTTTTTAATTAAAAGTTGCTATTTAAAGCTGCAACAACTGATTATATGAAATGGATGCTATCCCACTAAGCTATCCTGTTGAGTCTAACTTGAGGTCAGAAACCTCTTACTTCACATTATTAACTTTTTGAAAAATTCAAACATGTAAACATGAAATATATCTATATTTTTTGACAACAGCAGGATTATTATGAAAAGTCAGCAACATATGAAGTAAGCAGTTTCTGTCCATTTCACATAATCAGATGTTGCAGCTTTAAATAAAAATTTGGGAAAAAACTTTATAGATATCTAACTCTCTACTGTATGTATATCTGGAAAAATTCTTCCACAATTATGATTGCCTTGAAGAGCTCTTTCACATGACCTGGGTCTTGACCAGATTTAAAACTGCAAAAGGTTGCAGTTCATTGTTTAGCTGTTTAATTTATAATTTTATTCTTTGTTCTATATTTGTCAATCTTTGTTAATCATTTTATACTTACCACCCATAAAGGTCTAGAATTATGATCAACCCGTAATTGCATGACAGAACGATAATCTTTGGCACCAAACTCATCTTCTTTTGTAGTATCTTCTGAAAGATGTTGGCTAGCTGCAGCTGGTACTCCATCTAAAAAAAATATTTAAATATAAATAATTTCCTTTCATAATAAATAAAAATTATCAGTTTAAAAACAGTGATAAATGTTAAGTTATTATTTATTACAAGGATATATTTGACAATGCTATATGGCAATGATATCTTCCCCAAGATATAAATAAACAACAAAAAAAATTAAGAATTACAATCAGACAAACTCCTGTATATGAGGAGGAGGAAAATACAAAAACAAAAAATCATTTATTAATTATAGAGTATTCTTTTGCATGCACTTTAAATTTATTTATACGTAAATATAGATATTCAATAAAAGCCAGCAGTCCTATAGAAGAATGTTGAGAAAGACTCATAAAGAGAATGACTGATAAATAATGTTTCAGGTATGCAGAATTTTCTCTCTCTTTAAATATTTGTTCTATTTACATTAGTATTTCTAAATATTTGATTTTTCAATCATCAAATTTGATGAAAGTCATTAAATATGACTAAAAATGTTAATTTTTCCAGTTTAATAAACTGTTTTGTTACTATATAAAGTTGTATGCAGTTGACTGCATGAGCATCTAAATTGAGGTCCTTGTCAATTTTATGAAACTGACAAGACCTCAATTTAGATGCTCATGCAGTCAAATGGCAATTTCGTTTTTGGATAATGTAAAAGCAAGGTCTGAGAAGAAATCATCACTAATTAGAGAGGCTTTTCTATTAAAGTCTTGAAAACTATATAATTTATTTTCTGAGGGTCTATATGATTCTTCAATTTCCCTGTTGATGACATCATCATCATCAATTTGTCTGGCTTGGTTCTCTGCCATTAAAACATTAAAAGTTTTATCACCTTTAACTTTTTAATCTTTTCATTATTCATTAATTCATATTCCTTCTTTTTTACACTCATTACACACCTTCAAAAAATAGTCTTCTAAATTGTTTGTGAATTTACTTTAGTCTCTCCTTAATTAAAAAATTCAAACTCATTTTACAGTCAATCTTATCACAGATGCCAGGTGTCTCATTCTGACCTCAAAAATAAACTCTTTCTTCTGATTTTTTTCTTAACAACATTTGATATTGCAACATATTTAATTTAATATTTGAACTCAGCAATAATTAATATTTTAACAAAGATATAGATAAATCAGAAAAAAAATCTTGAATCAAATGCATTCTTCCTCAATTTTTTTTTTTTTTTTTTATGTTGCCAGATCTCAATATACAGTAGTCACCATTGAACTTAGACCAGGCTGCAGTTAACATGCCATCCAATAGATAGGTTTAAAAAAAAAAAGTAGCTTTGATTCATTGCATGAATGTTTTTACATAATTTAAAACAAGTATAGAGTAATTAATCTTTATTTTTGCCAAATATCAACTTGATATCTTGCAAATTTAACAACATTTAGCCAGTCAAACTTGAGTCACAGGCATCAAAAAACAGACCACTGCATCACCCCTGTCAATGAACAGACCAGCTAATAATTTGCATTTAAATAATGTACCAATTGCAGTATTTCTGAAACAACTGATTATTTTAGCCTCACTTTAGATTATGTTGGCCTCATTTTAGCCTGTAGCGATCCTGTGAATAATATAAGGTGCATTTTTAGTGTTATTTACAAATCTTTGCATTTTGTCTACAATGGCCAGAGGAAAAGCCATTTCAAAAAATTGAAGGAATGCTATCGTTGCTAAACACAGTCATATCATGTCTAAGAGAGCTATTAGTAAAGAGCTAATGCTAAGCAAGACAACAGTGCACTAGATTATTGTTCATTACACTAACCACAGCCATGTTATACCTAATAAAGCTGCTGGACATCAACAAAAAATTTCAAAAGTTGATAAGAGTTTGAAAAGAATCATAAAAAAACAACCACAATGTCACAGCATTGGATGTAACTACAATATGAAATGATACAACTGGAAAGAATGTATCTATTTCGACAACACACAGGAGACTGCAAGAAATGCATTTCCAGTTCTATGCAGCATGTGAAAAACATTTGCTAACAGCACATCAAAAGAAGAAACAGATACCATACAGTGGACCAAAGAACATCTTTCCTAGTCTCAACAAAAGTGGCATGAAATTCTGTGGTCTTATGAATCAAAATTTGAATTATCAACAACAAACAAAAGCCAACGTGTCATTTAATCTGCCAATGAAGCTAATGATCCATCATTGTTAAACTGTCCAGTGAAGTTTTCTGCCAGCATCATGGTTTGGGGGTGTATGAACACCAGTGGTATGAGTAGGTTGACATTTGTTGATGGAACACTTGCTTCAGAGCAATACATTATTAACATTCTACAAGTGTTTACTTCCATCCATAGAAAAGCTATATCCAAATAGAACTTGCATTTTCCAGCAGGATGAAGTCACATGTCATACAAGCAGAAAAACAAAACAGTGACTCTCAGAAAAGAACATAGAAGTTCTTCCTTGGCCATCTGACAACCCAGATCTTTAACCATTTTATAACAAATAATAATATAGAAAGTTTTTCTAAATAAAATTGCATAACAGATTGCACCATACACAATTTTAACTTTTGCTAATGCATCTTAATGTTTTTCAACTAGAAAGTTATCCAACTTGCTGGATTTTTTAGTAGAATAGTGTTCTATTCCACTTTTATTTGTTTGAAAATTGAAATAAAATTACCTCAATTTCAAAATTAGTTGTTCACAGTAGTGCCTCATACTTCAAATTTAATTCATTCCAGGAGGTCATTTGAACTCTGAATCATTCAAAGTCTGAATCAATTTTTCCCCATTAGAAATAATAAAAAGTGAATTAATCCATCACTAAACAATATACATTTCAATAAACTTAAAACAGCAAATATACAATAATTAAGGTAAAAATAACAATTAAATGCCCTAGTAATAAATTAAAACTTTTAAATAATAAATAAAATATGTAAATACTGTATAATAAAAATGAAGATTGCATTTACTGGTCATACACCATAAACTTTGGCATCTTAAACATGGCTACCCAATCCATCCATGTGTACCACTTGTTTCTTTTTTACCTCAATCACCAATACAACCTTCCTTTTAGATTTTGCTGTTTCCATACTCTTCTTAGATGCCATGATTAAATAAGGTTATATTGAGTTGAACAAAGTTTTTGTGTATTTTCAACAGCTGTTATTACTTAACATAAGCTGTCAACAAAAATTACAGAAAGAAATTGTTAAAAACTAGCAAACAATACATACTATATGTAACCAAACACCAAAAATAAGTGCTGAAAACATACGAATGTAATGCAAGAGATGGCTTGGATGCAAACAGATGGTGTTTATGTAGCAAGTGCATTTTTTCACTATGCACACAGTTTGAACTTTGAAGCAAATTTTTGTGAAATTTAGAATTCTAAATATGAGGTACAGTGTATCATTGCAATATATATGACTGTTTATAAATTAAATAATTTTCAAAATTTTAATTTTAACTGTTTTATTTAATTTCAAATAGATTCAGTAAAGTCCTTGTGGACTAGAGATTACTGCCTCTAAAATAATAAAAAGATCCCACTTATATAATGAAGTATTTACCACATAAGAATTTTTTGCTGCACACATTTTCAATACTGCAGTATGGAGTTTAGAAACATGTTTTCTTTCCAAATAAAATGTTGTTTTAGTTTCTTTTCTTGGCTTAACACAATTTTGCACTTTTGATTCCTTCTTATTTTTTTCATTTAACATATAGCTAAGTACAAATACATAATTTCTTACTCACAAATTTCATTCCAATAAGTAACGAACATTTAGTGCTTCTATATAGTTTGTAATTGGAATATTTTAAAATATTTGATGTATCAGATAGTTAAACTGAAGTTTTCTCTCTTGATATAATTGCTGTTCTTTCATCATCTCCAGTGAATATCAGAATACCAGATGCAGTTCTCAGCTAGTGTTTTAAGCTTCTTGACTACTGAAATCTAATTTCTTCATTCTCTTTCTCAAAAAAGATGTCATGAAATATCAAAGATTTATCTACATGCTAATGATTATAATTCAATATACTCCAAACTATCTCAGTATCCTATTTTCAAAAATCCTATGATATTGTAAATGCAGATGACCTCTATTTTTTGTACCATTTTCATACCTCTGCAACTAAAACCTTATTGCATACTTTGACCTACATGCTTTTTGGATTATCTAAGCAGATAAAGTATGATCAAGTTCCTTATAATTTATGTATTACTGTCTTTTACTGACACCTGATGTGTTGCTTTCACAGATGTTTCATAGTTAAGAGATTTTTTTTTCAATTTTTGGAATGTTTTTTAAGTCTCCAAATTTTTGCAAAACTTTTTGCCCATGCGAAAAAATTTTATCGCAATTTTAATGAGCCTTTGATAAGGCTCGATTAAGGCTTAATTGTTTTTTAATGGGAGTTTTTTTATCAAATTTATTTCATGGTTCCTAAGTTGTAGTGCATGGATTTTCCTTCGGTAAAGTTATTTAAAGCTAGTTTCTGATGTCAAAAACGACCTCCGATAGTTTTTTAATTTTTTTAATTAATCGATTTTATTATATATAAATTTAATTAATTGGGGGATCGGAAATCGCAATTAAAATCTTAATTTTTTAAAAATATTTAAAAATATAGGCGTCGCTAGTATTCATCCTACTTTAAACCCTTGTCCTCCCGAGACGTCTATGAGAATGCCCCAGGAAATCCAACTCCAGCTGTTCTCAAAGTCATCCAGCTGTGTAAACAATGACTCATTGGTGTTAAATTTCACAGAAAGGAAAATAAAATTTGGAGCTTTCTCTTCAAAATTAAGGCATTTCTTTTGTTTTTTTTTTAGTTTTAAGTATTTTTTTATGCTTAATTACATCATAATTAATAACAGATGGTCGTTAAGGGGTTAATAATTACTTATAAGCTTCGAGGACACGGGGAGGATGGAAAAAAACAGTCCAATCGACACGGATCGGGATTGTAGGAGTAAAGGCTACAATCCCGATTGTTTCGATCATTGT